TTTATAATCTTTTTAAGGATAAGAAATCTCTTAAGAATCTTAATAATAAACTTATTCTTTTTTAATATTATATTAATAAAATAGCTCCTTAAGGGGTAATATATATTATACTATTAATATATATTTATTAATAAGTATAATATATAATATAAGTAATATATAACCCTTATAAAATAAGATAGCTAAGATATAAGCCCTTAGCTATTATTAATTATTAGTTAATAAATAAGTAATTCTTTTTAATTACCTTAATAAGTAATTTCTATATTCTCGCAGAGTTATTAAAAGGGTATTTATAAGAGGAGTTATTATTTATTTTTTATTTTCTTAAATTAGTTATTTAAGGTCTTTTATATTAATATAATTTAAGACCCTTAGTCTTATAATTATATTAATAAATAATATAATTATTTACCTCTCTTAATATAACTTTATTTATTTATAGCTTAATATCTCTTAAGGCTATAATAAAATAAAATAAAATATCTAGCCCTAGGTATTTAAGCTATTTATATTAAGTAAGAAAACCTCCCTTTAATAATTACTATATTATATAGCTTATATATCTATAGATTCTCTTTTAAGAGGGTTTTAATACCTTATTAGCTATTAGCCTTATTTTAGCTTATTTTTATATTTAAAGACTTATTACTCTTAGCTCTCTTTAATCTACCTTAAGTAATTTTTATTTACCTTTTTTAGGTAATTTCTTAGCTTTATATTTTATTAAAAGCCTTATTTTTATAGCTTTAAGAAGGATATAAGATTTATAATAAGACTAAAATAATAAATTATATCTTAGAATTATAGCCTCTTTTTATCTTTTTAATTATTCTTAATATAATTATAGCTTTTATATATTTATTAATAAGTACTTAATTAATTCTTAATTAAAAAAATTATTTTCTTAGGTTACTCTTAGGTTTTTAAGTCTTAAAATATCCCTAAAGATATATAATATTATACCTAAGTCTAATAAGATATTATCTTAGAGAGAATAATAATTAATAATTACTAAGATAACTAAGTAATTATAAATATTAATTAATCTTAATTAAATTAATCTCTTTATTTTAATTCTTTATATCTTATTAATTAAGTTATTAGTATTATAAATTATTTTCTTTTTTATTATTTCTTTCTTATATATATTTAATTATAATCTTAATTTTTTTTCTAAGAAGATATTATAATAATTAATTAATAAATAAGGACTATTATAAGCTAAGTATATTAATTATTTTCTTATATCTCTAATATCTTAGATTTTCTTTTTCTTTTTTTAATATTACCTTAAATTAAGTTTTTTTTTTTAAGGTTTTCTTTAATTTTTTAAAAAAATTTTATTAGCTATTAAGAAAGCTTTATATTTTATCTTTTCTTATTTTAGAGGTTCTTAAAGGTTACTTAGGGCTAGCCTTATATTAATAAATATAAAAGCTATTATAAATATATTTTCTATTATATTATCTCTCTTTATAATATTATAAGCAAGGATTTATAACTTAAGGAGAAATAAATAAAATACTTTAAGAAGATCTAAGAATTATTAATTTATTTCTTTAGCTTCCTAAAAATTTATATTCTTAGCCTTATTAATTAAATTATATTAGCCTATGATTTATTTATTAATAAATTAAAATATATTTAAATAGCCTTAATAGGCCTTAGCTAAATAATTTTTATATTTTTTATTTTTTATTTTTTTATTATTATAAATAAGAATTCTTTATATAAAGACTTAATTTATTAATTAAGAGGGTTATTTATTAAGTAATAATAATAAATAAAAGGCTTATTAATTATCTCTAAGATTTAATTTTATATCTTAGTAATTCTTCTTTTTTAGATTTATATACCCTAAGAAAAAATACTTATAGAGGGTTTATAAAGAATTATAAGTTTATAGCTAAGCTATTATAAGATTAGAGATTATCTTAATTCTCTAATTATTATTAATATTATTCCTAAGAATAAGATTTTATTTTTAAAAGGTATTATTTAAGCTTTATATTAATAATATCTTATTATCCCTTTATAATCTTATTTTAAGTTTTTCTTTTTATATTTTATATTTCTAATTTTATTAAGGGGGTTAATATAAGAGTTAGCTTATTTTTAGCTAATAAGTTAATATAATCCTATAGGTCTTAGTTTTTTATTTTTACCTTAAGGATATTAAATTAGGCTATTTAATTATTATTAGAGGTTAACTTAGTATCTATATTTATTATTATTACTTAAGGGTTACTTAATAAATACTCTTTAGGTTATTATATAACTTAATATTTTATAACTACTATATAAGACTCTTAATTATTTAATTATAGGCTTATCCTTTAATATATATATATATTACTTATCTTTATTATCCCTAAGGCTATCCCCTTTTTCCCTTCTTAGCCGCGATATAGCCTTCTGGATTAAGACTAGCTTAGCTAACTTACTAGAGATTAGCCGGCTACTAGTCTTACGTAATTACCCTTAGAGCTATTATATAGGATCCCGCTTAATATAAACCTCTTAATCCTTTAGTCTTCTTTTTTTTTATTGCCCTCTGATATTTGAAATCTACCACAATGGCTCAGATCTTTGGCCAATGTGACCCTCGGTTCTCTAAGCTTCGCGACTTGATGCAACAATTCATCACGTCTGGGCAAGATATCGGAGCCAGTCTATGCGTGAACATCAACGGCGAGGAAAATGTCGTGGACATCTGGGGTGGTTGCGCGGACCCATCAACCGAAAAGCCCTGGGAAAAGGAAACCGTGGTAAACGTCTTCTCAACTACGAAGCTGGTCACCAACCTCGCGGCTCTCATGTTGATTTCCCGCGGCGTGCTCCGTCCTGAGGACAAGCTTGTCCATCATTGGCCTGAGTTTGCGGTGAACGGGAAGTCTGAGGTCACGGTTGGCCAAGTCTTAGCCCACACGGCGGGTCTCAGCGCATGGCAGGATGATATGACACTGGAGGAGTTGTGCGACGCCAACGCGGCAACCGACAAGCTGGCCCATCAGGCAACGCTATGGGTCCCAGGCAGCGCAATGGGATACCACGGCGTGTCGCAGGGGTTTCTCGTAGCGGAGTTGGTGCGAAGGAAGACGGGCATGTCTCTCGACGAGTTTGTAACAAAGGAGATTTGTCACCCGCTCGGCATCGGGACGGACTTCCAGCTCGGATGCCGCAAGGAGGATCGGAGCCGCGTGGCCCCTGTCGTGGCCCCACCGGGACCTTCGATCCAAGAGGCACTTGAGCAGATAGGGTGTGAGCCGGAGTCGATCACAATGCGAACATTGTGTAACCCTCTACTCCGAGCTGAGGACGCCAATACTATTCTCTGGAGGTCCAGCGTGTTGGGATCAGTCAACGGTCACACAAACGCTAGGGCCTTAGTCAAGATCCTCTCTTGCATCTCGCTTGGCGGCATATGCGCGGACGGCGGCCATCGCCTGCTTTCGGCCGAGACCGTGGAACTGGCACTTACGGAACATGCGAGTGGTGTGGATTTGGTCACAGGGCGGCCCGGGAGGCGCGGACTTGGGATTTACCTTACCGGACCTGGCTCGGGAATCGTCGAAGGCAAGCTTCCAGAGGGTCGTGTTGGATGGGGTAGCGGTTGGGGAGGCTCCATTGTGGTGATGGACAGGGACAGGGGGCTTACGATCGCATATGCCATGAACAGGATGCTGAATGCAGAGCACCCTTCCCCAGCTGCGTTTATTAAGGCGGTTTATGGGATACTTGGAGTAATCCTTGATGCCTAACTAGCCTCCGTTGAACCCCCTCTAGTCTAGGCCCCAGCCTCAAGTCCCCGGGGATCAATTTCACGCAACCTTGCCTTACAATTCATTGCGGCCTGCATTGTCACATTAGAACTAAGCATAGTCGAAACAGTAAAGTTACGCACAGGAGTTACAATAGTCAGATGTGCGTGGGCGCTTTCTTCCACACCAGATACTCCCCTTGCACTTGTCTTTCCGCCCAGTCAACTCACGATCACATGCCAAAATAGGAGAAGGACTCACGGTCATCACAATACTGGTGCTGGACGATATGTCCACCCTCACACTCGATGCGGACGGAATATTTGTCGCAGTCATTACAGTACGATTGGGCTTTCATCTTGATGGTAGTAACTTGACTGGCTGTTTTGGTTGGGGGCTGCACAGGGGAAGGGGGAGTCGATATTTGTTGAAACGAGGGGATGAAGGTAAGGAGGATCAGCGACAGACAGTCGGCCTTTTATAGAGCTTGTGAATTACCGTGTTGTGCGACAACAATGCCGTTGTCAAGTGACAATGTGAATCTATCTTGCTGAGGTGCCCAACCTTTAACCAACCGTGCAGTAAGGCTGTCGCTTACGCCTACTAGCTATCTCTAGGCCTCCGCCACATAAGACTCTACATAATTATCACATCATCCCCCGCAATTCTATGAGCGTTCGCTGCGCGAGAAGAGGTGAAAGGTTCCTCCTATTAGCCAGTACTAAAGAGAGCTAGAAGATCATTTGTCATTGACATCCCTGATTCCTTGCCTTCCCGTCCTCTCTGTCATCACAAAGCCCTGAGCTGTACCTATCCTCGCGACTGGGAGGAAATATCGTAATCTAGGGGGCGATGATTCGTCTTGCAAGTGGGGTGAAACTTGCACTTTACACCTTCCTTCACAGCTCATGTGAGCATGGCTGGATCACGCAGCTGTAGAGAGTGCATCTACTTCAGCCGTAAACCACATCAAGTGACCTTTATGGTTGCCAACCATAGGTATACCGAGTTTTGAGGCCAGCCAAAGTACATTTTACGGCTTCCCTTAACGAGCTCTCCCGGACAATCCCTCCTGTCATCTTCCCATTTGTCACCGAGCTGCCCTGCAGGTTCTCGTGTCCTGTCTATGATGCCTAATCGCAGTCATCTTGCCCGCTCAAGTAAAGAAGACTGTCAAAGCGATATGTCCGCTACTGATTCAACTTCACCGACAGAAAGGCTAATGATGTGTAAGAATTGAATGAAGTACCAGTACCTCAACTTGTTCTACTATAGCCGGTATACAGTCATATCTATTAAGCGGGTGTTGCCGAAGGCGTAGCTTCAACAGGCGGAGGCGGCGGTGCTTCTTCCTCCTTGGCAGGGGTAAAGGCTGCCCCTTCCAATGGGATCTCTCCCACAGTTCCTCCAGATACTTCGGTACCATCGACGTTGGCTGATGCTTCCCCTGAGATCTTCGAGTAGTTGACCAACGAGGCCTCGTTTGGCCTATGAATGTTCCAGTTAGCAAGTCTCAAGCCCTAGTCAGGGATCTCTCTTACGGATTGATTGCCATGACTTGGCCATTTTGACAATGGGGACCAGTCGCGCAATAGAGATAGATGGGATCCGTGCTGGTCAAGGGCAAATTAAATGTCCCGACTGTAGTCTGCCCAGCCTCAAACGGGATGTGCCCGCTATGAATGGCTCCAGCCACCGTCGCCTGCAACGGTTGACATGGGGCATCCTCGGCACTCTGAGTGACTGTGTGGTTCCCTGAGCTGAACTGGAATTGGATCACGTCGCCAACCGCGGCCCTGATCAGGTTGGGAACAAACGTGTCTTGGGGACCGCCAACCACCACCGGTATAAGCCTATTGGCTCGTCGCTCGAGGGGAGGATTCGTTCGGACTACCATGGCTTAGCTGTTGGGGATTTGAAGTATAGCTCGGGGTACTGACTTGTAAATTGCCTCTTTGCTTCAAGCTTCGGTAACAGAGCCGGCTCTGATTGATGCACCTCAATAAGCGGCATAGCGACGGCAACAGCCGCCAGTAGCCCATATACCAGCATTAACATGATGAAATATCCTTCGGTAATGTGTAGAAAAAGGAGAGGCTGCGAATGATGTATCCTCCAGTGATACCTTCAAACGCCCAAGATTGTACTCGGTAGGAATTACAGTGACAGAGAAAGAAAGAGAGAATAGAAGAGAAAGACGCCCGCGCTATGGGATAGGTCCAAGGTAGGATTGTCGAATCTTGGATCACGCCACATCCTTTATAGATAAATCTTTGGGGTTGCAAATTCATTACAAAGCCTACCAACATCCACTGTCATGTCCTTGTTTGCAACACTCGAAACCACCCGAGAGTGGGCGAGACACCAAGAATCCGCAATGCGTCGCTAATAATGCCCAAATCTTGCTCCTGTGATGACGAAGTCTTGTCGCATCCATGCCCCAACGTTTAGCCAAGCCGTCTGAAGAGGTTGTCTCAAACATCGTTGCAGGTGTGCCGAGAACACTTGCTCCAGTCATCCCTGGACTGTGATTGGATCATCATGGAGACGTTTACGAAACAAGCAATTAGAAAACGGCTGAGATTCAGTTCTGAAGCAAATCGTGCACTGGCCTTCTGTGTCATCTCCCCTGCCAGACAGCGTTTCATTGATCGGGATGTGGGCGACAGAACCTTAACTGGGTGCCCTGAAACGTGAAACTCGACAGTCCATGGAGATCTTGAAACCAGGACAGAAGCCGCTGACAAAGCATACATCCGTATATCCAGGTGTGAAACTCTGGGAATATAATCGGCACTCTGGCGTATTACCACCACATACGACCATACCCACCGGAGAACTCGGGATCCCGTCCGCTCTCCCATAGATAAGCCGGTGAGGGGCGGATTAGTAGTTGGGTCGGTGACGACCAGCGAATCCCCGCTGTTGTATGTTTTTTTTCGACCTGACTGGCCCCCCCTTTTTGCCAATCGATGCAGACACTCGGTCTCATTTTTGCAGTGTCGTTCCCTTAAAGTTGATCTTTACCAGCCACTTCGGTATTCGAACGACTTATGATGGGTGTAGGAGTCTTCTTTTCAGCGGTTTTCTATTGCCATGATGTTGCGATCCCGGTCTTTGGAACGTGCCAAACCATACACCGTCCACTCTTTTAGGCATTCGTGCAGCTCTTCTTGGCTCATCTGTTTTCTCATTCTTATTTCGAAAATCATGATGTAGAAAAATACATGGCTTTCATCTGTTTTGTAGCCGATCCTACCTGCATCACCACCTACCTCATCACAAACACCACACCCCTCTGTGCAGGGGACTCAGGGGGCAACCATCATGTTATCACCACTGCGAACGCGCCATTCACTTCCTAGTCATGAGTTGGTGGCTTCTCAAAATGCTCATGAAGCAGCCTGTCAGCCCCGCCCGGCCCGTTTGGCCAACGCAGCTTCCTGTTGAATACAGCAAACGTGACATGATTGCAATATGCCCTGCACCTGCGTTGGTGAACTTGGTTTGCTTCGACCCTCCAACACTACTACATGCCTTTGTGACCATTCTTCTATTCTTTTGCCCCATTCCTCTCAGAAGTAGCCCAGCAGTAACCCCCAAGCTTCCTCATTAACCAGTCTTCAAGCCAATATCGACCCCATTTCATCGGCCAGTTCTCCTCTCCAAGCACGTACCGACCCAAGCCTTCCCAATCTCGGCCCACCGGTGAATTTCCACAGAACGACAAGAAATCATTGTGGTCACGATGCTTCGGCTCAAGATTGTCGTGTGTGTGTTAGTAGCGGGTGTAACAGGGGCGGCATGCCTGTTGGTTTACAACTCCGAGCAACACGAAGATCAGAGCGCCCGGTTCGTTGACGACAAAGGCTACGATAGCCTAGAAGAACAGAACGACCCATCCTCCGACCAAGAGAACCGCGAAAGTTCCGAGAACAAGCCCAAGGGAGAGCCTGTATGGCTCCTGCGACACATCGACGACGAAGGTGACCCCAGGCAGTGGGCACTCTACATGTTTGGGAGAGTATACGAGCTTCGTGTCGTACGAAATGCGCCCTTCCGCTACTCAATCATTTGTTCTCCACGATTCGAAGCGCACGTCACCGACGGTGTCCGACTATATCCGAAAACTGGCTTCCATTATGTGAGCCCAGAGAGACCCTGTGTGGGAGGTACTCCTGAGCTTCACATGACCTACTATCTTGCTGGTTGCTACATCTGCATGGTTGGGAGGACACGCTTGACACCGGATGAGGTTCAGCAAGCTTTTAGCATGGTCAAGGACGACTTTGGAGTGTTCATTGCCACTTTTCTTTGCCAGAGCTTCCTCGACAAGTTTCTTAAGAAGATCATTGCAAGAAGGGATCGAGCCTCCCGCAGAAAGAAGTCTATCAAGCAAGTTATCACAGGCAAGCGATTGACCATGTTCAACCCCAGGCCAAAGAAAAGAGGCCGTCAGAGCCAGGTGAACCATGGTGGACTGTTTCAGGGACTGGAGACAACGGTCTTGGAATCGCAAACGAAACCAGATTCTGCGCAAGATTGTGATCAGGCGAGACAGGTAGTATCGTCATCTACTTTATACCTGGAAAACTGAGAGTGATTTCCTTGGCTTGAGACCATATATCTTAGATGACTATCATCGGGCAGCGAACAGACATCATCAGCATGCGGGCAAGTTTCAGTCTTCCTAAGCATTGCCACTCTAACACGTGGAAACAACTTATCAGACCCAGTCAAAGGGCTTCCAAGCGGTTATTGATTCAGGATTCTGAGGAGGCTTATGTTCGACGGGAGTGTGGCGTTTGCGTTTTGCTCGCTGGCCAGTGTGGGAGTTGAGGCTTACACACTACCTAGCTAAAAATCGATGTCAACCACCCTAGCTCATTTGCTCACGAAGCATCCATGTTCTCCTTTGTGCTTTGAGATTCAACAACCTCCGGTGAATGTTTTCTCTTACAACGGTGCTCTTGGCCCAGTTTCGGCATTCCTACAGAGGACGTATCCGCTCGTCACTGAGCATAACACACCAAGAAAGAAGAAGAAAAAAAGGAATACGGTGACACGCAACCCGTGTAGCTCTTCTATTCAAACTTCAAGTCGCGCCGCAGATAATTATCAAGTATGACTTCTCATACTTATGAGCATGTCTGCTCTTGGCTGTTCATAACCTTACCAGGGTGAAGGCGACAAAGTCAGGGCTACCTCGCATGCTTCCTTATGTTTGATGACATTTCGACCATTCGTATTGTTTCATCCTCCATCCTCTACTTCGTAGGTTTGTTAAAACTACTCAGGATCCCTCTTGACGCTGGTTGCTAGAAGCCGGACCCCTACCCTATCCTCTCCTCCAGAGAAATTAAGAAACATAGATATTGCTGATACAGACCTAGTCACTCGCTTTGGAGGCTTTGCCAGAATGAAACCGTGGTTTAAGATGAAAATTACGTACAATTTCCTCGAGCAGTATCACATTAGTTTCTCGGCGGCATCGTAACGGTCACGGATAACGAGGAGTACACCCATCTCTTTGGCTTGTGCTTTGTTCCATCTTCAGATAGACTAGGGCAATTGCTTTAAACGAAGTTGAAAATTTGATATCAAATTCCATATTCTTATGATTCAAAAGGGTATCTCTGAACGGTAGTCAGTCTAGCTACATCGAGCCCTCCCATCTGTCTCGATTCCAACATCTTGCCACCATCAAGCAACCCAATTTCTCCATTCCCATGTTCATATAATGCTCGCTCCTTCAATTCCGTCACATCACTTCCTTGTATTGGAAATTTTCAAGCTCACTTTCTCCCTAGAGCCCATCTAACAAAGTTGCCCACCATTAGCATCAACCACAGTATCCAGTATCGCAACCCGGAACTGTGTCCACTCCTCAATCGAGACCTTGAATCCTTCAGAATCTTCATCGCTCGCGGTACCGCTAGCTTATCATATGCTGATATAGCCTCTGTCAGCGAACGCCCCTTGGATAACTGTTCCGCCAAGTCCCAGGAATCACACAGCGCCAGGTTGGCACCAAACCCAGCAAATGGGCTCACGGCATGGTTACTATCCCCAATCAATACCACTGGCAGCTCGTCGATATTGCCGTGGGAAAAGGCAGGCTTGTCTCGTGCGTTGTGCGAAAGAACCGTCTTTGGGTCTGTGTGCGCGACGATGGTCCTAAACGGCTCTTGCAAGGCAGCACCCAGCTCAAGACCCCTATCAATCACGGCTTGCACTTGCTCTGGATTTTCAAGATCTAACACCGGAACCGGTGTGTCCTCAAGATGTCCAATACCCCAGAATATGCTCTTCTTGTCAACTGGAGAGAAGAAGCATGAGACACCAGTCCCTGAGAGCATGAACCCCCAATCTTTGTCCACCGGAGCAGGAGGATCGTGCTCAAATCTCGATATGCCACCTCGAAGAATGGCCCCGGCAAAGTTGAGGTTGTCGTCCGGTCTCAGAAAGGCTCGGAGCTTGCTACTGGCGCCATCTGCAGCAATGAGAAGATCACAGTCCTCGTCTGTAACGGTGTCCTGACCCTGCGTCTTCCTCACAACCTGGACCCGAACTCGCCCATTATCAAGTCGGTGAGCCGAGACGCACAGCGTATTCCATTCAACCGCATCGCTTGGCCCAAGCCCTTCGTGAATGGCTTGGCGGACGTCCTTCCGGGGTACTCGTATGCTGGAGGAGGGCAAACCTTCGATAGGCTCGTGCCTCAGGGTCATGTACTCCTTCCAGTCAGGTGCCCAGATCTTAAAGGCGCCAGCCCCTTCGAGCCCTGAAACAGCCTTGTCGATGATCCTATCGAGAAGGCCTAGCTTCCGCAACGCGAGGAGCCCTCCTGACGTGTTGTAACCGGTGAGCGATAGACTGTAGCCCTCGCGCTGAGCTGTGATTTCTGGAGAGTCGCGATCATAGATGAGGATTTTTGGCGGATTCCATGCGGGGTTCCAGAGTCTGCGTAGCCCGACGACAAATGCCGATCCTGAAATACCCCCTCCAGCTACGATGATCGTCTTGCCTTCGAGGAAGTGGTGGCTTGGGGTCGCATCGTCCATGGCGGCTGTTGGCTATTATCTCCACCATGTGAAGTGGTCGAGAGGTGAAGAGATCGATCGAAAGCAGAGCATTTTCGATAAAGGACACATCGTCATTAAATATCATTGCTACACAAACACATCGACCATAGTAGTAGCAAATATTTGTTAGGGACGCGTCCCCAGGTGTCGCCATAGTTCGCTAGCCCCCGTTAAACCCGAACGGCAGTTGAGCCGTGCATTTACTGATTTCCCTTCTCAGAATACGTATTGCCTATTTCGGATAGGTCACAAACACCATCCAACGTCTACAGTCACTCCCGCGATATGTTTGGTGTAATTTCTTGTCTTAAAACGGCTCTTCAGGGGCCGTGGGGAAGAGTAGGATTATTGTTCATTGCGTAAGCTTCGCGTGTACGACAGTGCACGAGAAATCATGCGACCGTTGGCTCATTGACCCCAGAGACGTCGTCACCAGGCGGCTATGTCCTCTTAATTTGGAATTCATTACCACAGAGGATTCAAAGTGCCTACGACATAGTACTGTCACTCCGGGTTTCCAACCAGAAGAAGGTTTATTCGGCCAGAGTCTAACATTTGCCGAGCGCAAGTCGACGGGCGCTTTTAAAAAGGGCACGGCCCGGCATCTTGAGAAATGATCGTCGGCGCTCATGACTATCAGAATACCACGGGAAAATATATGTGTGGGTTTATAGGGGCATCCCGTGGGAAGACATCCAAGCTAGGTAGCCTGCTGTCCGCTTCTCACGTTGGAGATCAGCCTTACAAGTGCGGGATTGTCGTGATTGTAATGCTCGTCGTCTCATTCGCTCGTCATCTGACCAGCCAAAAGCTGGGGCGATCCAGCCGAACCAACATGACACCTTGAGCAACAAAAATCCAGATATTTTTATAATACAATTCTTGACAACTCAAATTGGAGAGGCTGCTAAGCAATATCGGATCGCAATAAGTGCGACTATCTAGATAGGATATCACCAATCAGCACAGAAGTTCAAGCCATTGGGAATACACTGGGGCCTAGAATTAGCACCCTCTCCCCCTGTTTATGTCAATGAAATTCGCACCATCACCCCGCCTTCACACCCGCTCTCCTCAAACCGTCCATCAACCCCACCATGAAATATTCCCATCGCCATCACCACAACCACAAAAAATTCCACCACCCTCTGCCACCAACATAAACCTCCTTTGCCGCCATGTCGTCCGAGCTCTCCGCTGCTCCCGTTCTCTCCACCCCGGACGACAACATCCTCGAGATCCCTGCGGCCGACTCCCTCCCTACATCCTCCCTCTCCGACGATGCCCTACGCTCCACATACGAGGTCGTGCGGACGGCCACAGAGATCCGTGCTGGAGGATGGCGGCGCGTAGGGCTTCAGTTCCCAGACTTCATGCTCGTTGATGCGCCGCGTGTGGTAGAGGCACTGTTGAAGGAACTCGCTTCCCAGGACGAGCGCGAGGATTCGGCCGAGGACAAGGGTAAGAGTGAGAGGAGGATCTACATCCTCGCGGATAGCAGCTACAGTGCTTGCTGTGTCGACGAGATCGCAGCCGAGCATGTTTCTGCACATGTTGTCGTTCACTATGGCCGCACGTGCCTTAGCCCAACAAGCCATCTCCCCGCGATATATGTCTATACGAGCCACGACCTTGACTACGATGCGACCCTCGCCGAGCTGGAGAAGGAGTTTAGTGACAAGGAATCGAAGTTGATTGTCATGGCGGACCTCACATATCAGAACCATGTCGACAAGCTCGTGTCTCTGCTCCACGAACGAGGCTTTTCCAACGCCGTATCAACAGCCGTCACACACAACCCCGCGGCCCTCATTCCCAACCGCAAGATCATTTCCGACGCCGATGTTAGCGATGAAGAACACTGGAAGTGCTACTCCCTTATCCACATTTCCGATCCTCCCTCCGCCTTGCTTCTCGCCCTTCACTCCCGCTTCGCGTCGCTACATATCCTCTCCACACCCTCCCCGACTCTCGAGAACCCGACCTTCCGCACAGCTGGTCTCCTGCGCCGCCGCTTCGCCAAGGTTCTGTCTCTCGCGTCCGCCGGCGTCATCGGTATTCTTGTCAACACTCTCTCCGTCGCCAATTACCTCACCTCGATCAATCTTATCCGCGAAAAGATTGCCCGTGCGGACAAGAAGAGCTACACTGTCGTCGTGGGCAAGCTCAACCCTGCGAAACTCGCAAACTTTGCAGAGGTCGAAGGCTGGGTCGTTGTCGGATGCTGGGAGAGCGGTCTTATTGAGGATGACACTGGATACTGGCGACCTGTTATCACACCATTTGAGCTCGAGGTCGCTCTGATGAGCGAGGAAGAACGAGTATGGGGCGGAGAATGGTGGGGAGGTATTGAGAAGCTTAAGTTGGATGACAAGCCTGCTTCTGCAGAGGAAGATACGCCCCAAACTAATGGTCATGAGGATGGCGTCGTGGAGGATGATCCATTCGACGATGTCCCTGGTGGCGTTGAAGGCGAAGAGTCTGCACCACCTGAATTCGACCTCCGCACTGGAAGGCTCATCTCTTCGAGCCGACCAATGCGCCTACCAGTTCGCAAGAATCCCTTAGCCGTCGCAGGTGCTATCACAGCCAACGACGACGGAAATGGCACGTCCCATCAAACAGAAGCCCTTGTCAAACACTCAGCGGGCGAATTAGTGAGCATCAACGGTGTCGCGAGTCCAGGTGCAGAGTTCCTCCGATCAGGACGCACATGGCAGGGTCTGGGTGGTGACTTTGACAATGAAGCGAGTACCCTCATTGAAGAAGGCAGAAGTGGGATCGCGAGAGGGTATCAAGTTGGCGAGGGAGGTCGCCATTAAAGGCAATCCGGACTTATTCATATATGGCGATACCATTTTCTGGCATATGGCGTTTGGCATGGGAAAATAGATCACGGGGGTTGAGTCCAATTTATTCTCATTTCATTCAGATTTGTAATTTTGCTCACAAGTTGACTCGTGAAATGCTGAGTCGTGCTATATACAAGAGAATCATGACTAGGAGCAGCCTCCAGGGCATTCACTCCTCACTTACCATACCAATCCGAGCCTTCGCCATAAAGCGTTCAAACATGTGCAAGGAAATCCGAAGGAAGCAGATCTTTGCGAGCTTCGTAATATGTAGAGACAAGGAAATCATCAACATTCAGACATGTTGGTCGTAGATCCATCCATCCAAATCCTTTGAGTATAGGAAAATCTTCTAGTGGTGTCATAAGGCGTGAGACCAATCTTTTGGCCATCATTACATCAGTTCTTCAGCTCGTTCCATTTTTCATCCGCCGTACAACCTCGTCATTGTGGGGAGGTAGTAGGGCTCATCGCCCATGGCACCTCTGTCGTGCATGGGCATCTGTCGTCTCTCGAGATAAATAAAAGCTCGTGGGGATGCGATCATCGCATGGTCATTAGGTTGGGTATTGTGACATTGGGGTAGTCGTATATGCGGAGAGCGGGTGGCAGCCGAGGAATGTGTCTCGGACTGGCGCGGCTCCATGTGTTTTTTAGATAGTTTTGTTTCAGGTACTCGACTGAGCCGCTTAGACGTAGACACGACGAGAGTGAGGGCGGCTGCCGCTGTAACGAGAGCCAGAACGAGATCGGCTGCTTCGGTGGCTGTGACGGCTGGAGTGGTAGGAGCGGCGGCTGCTGTGGCTGCGGTCGTAGGCGCTCATGTGGCCGCCGTGCATAAAAGCGACGACAGCGGTGGTGAAGAAGAAGATAATGTTCATGATGCCGAAAGCCCAGCAAGCCTTGAGCATGGAGCAGGGCTTGTTGTTGACAAGGCTGTAGTTGGGTCCAATGACACGGACATCGCCCAGAGTGACGTCCCAGTCCTCTTCGCGGCGGATGCTCACGCAGTCTGTGTAGCGGACATAGCGCAGGTAGTAGACGGCAGCGATAAAGGCACCGAAGAAGAGGATGTCGACGAAAGCGACAAAGTGGGCGTTGGTGGAGGAGCGGTGGTAGCTGAAGAGGGTGAAGAGGGCCCAGGCAAGAGCGAGCACCGAGACGATGAAGAGGATCAGGATGGAGTCGGGAGTGAGAGCGTTTTGCTTGACGAAACCATCGACGAACCAGGCGAGCATGCCCATGCAGGGGATCTAAGGTATTGTTAGCGATGCACTATCGAGATTGGAGCGGAGGTACTAACCAGAGTGACGATCTGAAGGACCCGAAAGAAGACGAACAGCAGCGCGAAGAACATTTTGGCGGTGTTGTCTCTGCTATGCGACTATGCGACGATGAGGGTGGTGATGATGGGGATTTGCGCCCAAAAGTCGCAGAAGCGGGGAGTTTGCGACAAGAATAGCCGATGACGTGTGCAACGACTTATACGAGGCGGTAGTGAAAACAAGTCGCTATCAATGCCCAATAGTGATGGATGGCAACTTATATTGTCTGTTGGATGGATGATAATGGAGGAGATGGAAAGATGATGGAGGGTGCGGAAGAGACGTCTTTTTTGTAGCACACCACAAATAACCTCAAGTTCGGTTCCAAGCTTTTCCAATCCCTCACACGTCCAATTGCCTTTGCATCTGGTTTTGTGAGGTGGTTGGGCTTGGAAATGGATGGCGCAGGGCCACGAGGAGGGGGGATGACCCTTGTCAAGCACACCCCTGCGGTTCTGGTTTTTTAGTGGTTGGGCGACCCGTTTGGCGTGTTCCTTGTCAGCTTCTTCAGGGCCTTGGTCAGCTTTAGCTTCTCTTTTTCCCACGCGAGGTAGGGCGTAGAATTGGTAGGTTGGGGTTTCATGCAGAGAGTCAGAGAAAACAAAGTCAATTTATTCGAGGAAAAAAACGCAACCTGAATTGGGATGAACCGCTATAACCGGGCATTAACCCATCGAACATGGATTCATGCCCAGTTTCGGCATCCCCAGACTTTTACGGCTCATCAAGGCATATCCCTCCATCTCGTCAGAATCATGTTTCCCTGCCGGCCGTGCCGACTTCTTGGACATGACGTCGGGCTTGGCACTAACCATGCAAGCACTCTACACGGGTCGGGTGCGATAACGCGACAATGAGAATTGATACCCAAGACAGAAGGTGGAAAGGAACACAGACCGAGATGCCGGGATGGAGGGTAAGGATAGATTATTCCAGGCCTCTCCCTTCAATTGCGACGTCATCAGAAATTCGCGGGGTTGGGGAAAACGGGACAAACCCCCAAAAGCTCCCAAAAAAGAAATCGCCCAGAGGGGGGGAAAAACAGGCTGGCTGGACGACCAAAACACGAGATTCAGAATGCCCTCAAGGGTCGCCGAGAAAGCGGCCCCAACCATTCAATCAATCACGTCTTCTTGGCCCCTGCTTGTGCCTCAATAGCGTCCCTTGTTGTCTCGGCTGCCAATGTCAAAAAGCCAGGTGGCTAGGAAATACCCACGATATCCATCTAGCCAGGCACAGGAACAGGAACAAGCGAGACGCAATGCACACTCCCTGGGCCGTCCCGCTCGTTTCGGACACAGACGAAAGATCGGATCGAAATATGCGGGAGGCGGGTAAGTCTCCTTTTATCTCGGTAACTACAACTCCACGGTCGTTTACGGATACTCCGTAGATATACGGATAATCGCTCAGGGTCCTGCTTGGCCGAGACCTGCAGCTTTTGGTGTCGTTAATCGGTGGCTGGGAGACGTGATCAACAGGTACGATCTGTTCCTCCTCGAACTATCAATTAATAGTGGGGTGATTAATTCAATGTCCACCACATGGATGCAGACATTGTGCCTATTCGTGGACCACTGCATTACTGATTTACCTGTCTTCTCTTCCTCCTCGCCTGTCCGGGCTTCTCCTCCACGGTGTTCCGGGCCCCGGGCTAAGAGACCCACCCAGCACCGGACTCGCATCCCCCGCTGTCCCGGTTCCTCTCCATCCCCGCACCTCCCTCGGTTCATCATCCTCATCTGTCTCCCATTTCTCGTCCGCAACCCAGCAGTACGACCTCTCGTGCGATCCTTGTCCAATTCTATCACCCTCTCCGCCCTTCCATGGTGGTATCTTTGCTCCCGACAGCCTTGGACTCAGATGGTACTCGACCCGATCAGTGTGTACCACCATCTCGTCATCCACAGAGACGGACGCCAGCGTCTGCAAGATTCCATAGATAAGCACCCATCGACCTCGTCGTGCTCTCGCAGGGTCGACATCATCAGCCCGACCACTCTTCTCAAACCGTTGGAACGCCTCGACAAGCTTGTTGGCAGCAAACTCGCTTCCCAGCTTGAAGATGTTTGTGCTCTCTGTGTAAGCAAGCTGCACTCTTCTCTCCAGTGCTCCCATGCGGCCTCCGCTGGGGGTCTCTGACCTCTTACTTCGTGATGGCATTTCCAAAGGCGATATCGATTCGGGGAGCAAGGGGTACGGGTGTGGGATATGTGGGAACCGATGCTTGTTGTCAAACTCGATCAACATGTCCGTCATGGGCACTTCATCAGTGTCTGCTTCAAACATGCTGCTGCGGTTCTCCGGTACCATCATCCACTTCCGTCCCGATCGCGCCTCTGAGACGTCCCAGATGATGTCCCGATTTACGAGGAAATCGTACAGCGCGCCGAAATCCTTCTGCAACGCCTTCACCAACGAGCGTGTGAGCCATGTGTCTTCTTCAGCGCTGGTCTCCGATGTGACAGACTGGTTTCTGGATCTTGCCAGGGGTGAAGGTGGCCAGGATCCATATACTTGCTGATAGTGGCAGTACAGCATTTCTCTGAGTCTCTCAGCTGCACCCCTCGCCTGGCCAGCTTCTCCATAGTGCGTCCACATATCGTCGTACTCGAACCCAACCAGACGTTCCTCGGCGGCGTTAACACGGTCTTGCATCTCCAGGCTCGCCTTCTCCAGAAGAGCTCTCGAGATCGGTGTCAAGGATTTGTAGTCCTTACACATCTCGACACTCAGGAACATGCCCGTGCAATGCGTGAAGCACTGCCTCCAGCCATCCGCCCATCTCACGTCCTTCCCTTCGGCCCAGATGAGGAGCGACACTGCCGTGGCAGGGCTACATCTCACATCGTCCAGGGCGCGACTGCGAATGTACCGCACTATTTGACCAACATTGTCGTTGTACGGGGGCATATAAGTGTCGAGACGCGCATGAAGATCCGAAAGGGCCTGTTGCAACGAGAGACCGACGATCGAGGCATGGCACAGCAAGGCGAAGACGTTGCGCGTGGTAATTTGGTGCCGAAGCTCCTCGATTCGACCAAGGTTCCGAGGAGGGGGGAAGTACATCTCATATGAGATTTGGCCCTCAAAATCCCCAATGCTGGTGCCTTCAGAGGCTGGGGGTGTGAGTGGCTCATCAGCGAAGCCTCGACCAAGATTTGCACCGTAGGATCCATCACCTGGTGAGAGAGGTGGAGGTACGTCTTCTTCCGTCGATCCGTCTCGCAACATTGTGATGAGTGGGCGGCTCCCGGTGCCTTCAATGATATGTGATGATAGACGGAAGCTCGGCAACTTCTGGCCTTTGCGACCGAGAAAGATGAGAACATCTCCGTTGGGATCCCAAAGCTCCGGATCTTTGCGGAGTTTGTTCCACTTTCCAACCGGACGTCCTCCGCCTAGCCACCTCTTCATCTGTGGCGCCGGAGCGGATGGTGGTTGTGGGATCGCAGGCAGCTTCATCGTCGGAGGTGGGCCGATAGGAGGCAGGAGTGTTTGCGGACTGGGCGGCGAAGGTAAAGGGTTATGAGAAGGCGCATACGGTGTCGGTGTCGGCGCTGTTTGTATCATCATCGGAGAGTATTGAGCGTGCGTCTGGGCCTCCTCTTGACTTGACGTGGTGCTCGGTAAAGTATTTGCGACACTCGGAGGTCTATCACTGCTCCCCCGTCTTTCCCCCTCTTTGTCCTTCTTGCGAAAGGCAAACGTCTTTGCCAATCCTTTTCGAAAATCGTCGCTTCGCTTGTCTAGGATCGTCCGTAATCCGCTCCTCTCGATGCCGCTTCCATCTTCTATCCTCTGTTCTGGTAGTGTTGCTCTCCTTTGTGGCCAGGCATCTGACGAAGTAATCAGATTACTCATGTGTACGTCTCGCCTCGTGTCCCCCCTCATCATTGGACTTTCCGGCGGGTTCCATCCTCCCCGGATTCCCGGTGATGGCTCGCCAATTTGAATCTGCGGTAACTGGTTGGCATACCTCGGGTAAGAGGCGCTTGTGCCCATGGGCGGCATCGGGAAGTCGGGGAGAAGGTCGTCATTGCTAGAGACCGTAGTTGTAGATCGAGGACGATTGGTGCTTTCATTTTGTTTCTGTTTGGTCGTGGTGACCTTTTTGCGCGCGATCGCGCTTCGTCCAGACATGTTTTTGGTGTGGTGTCGATTCGGATCGAGGGTGTAGTTGTAGATTTCGGATAGTATCGATCATGGATGAGATGATGGCAATGCTTCGCGTCAAACATTAACAATGGCGATTAGATGTAAAGAGCCTTTCTGAGGCTCAGTGGTAAGAATGACGCTCGCTGTCGTAGAAAAAAAAGAGGTCGAAAGGTGTCAAAGACAGGTTCAAGATGCAGACCACGACGATGAATAGACTGGCCCAGAGGAACCAGCATCGGACGGAGTTAGGAGATTAGTCAATTCAACTGGCTCGACTCAGGTAATTGACTCTGAAGATGCAAAACACCCTCAGACGCCCTTTCGCGCGACCGCGGTCGAGCCCTAGATGGTCCCCCTCAGAGTTCTTATACGCCGGGCGCAAGAGCGCACATCCAAGGCCGTTAACTGGATGCCCCGACGTCAGTTGCGCCCGCTACACCCGGGAGCTTGGTTAGAGCCCTTGAGTCCCACGAGGATCGCAGCTTTTCCGTTAGCGCAAAAGGCAAACTCTGGTCGTAGCTTTTGGGCTTCGTTCGGGGTCAGGGCCGAAGCTTGTTTCTTGTGCCGGAGGGCCGGGCCTGGAAGGTGTTGATGCCAGACTGTCAAGGGACCCTGCTCTCTTGGGCACGATGTATCGTGAATAAAGTCAAGGCTGGTCCACTTCGATGTCGATCGAGAGTCAAGCTTGGGAGCTTTGACTAGAGAGTGAGCTTTGGTGTTGTAGTCCAAAGTTTCACCCTCACATCGCCAGGTGAAGAAGCAGTGGGACTTGTCAAGGTCAAGACGAAAAGATCCACAGCCCAGGACAAGGACATGCTCGCCATTTAGATAGAACCCCTACGGTTCTATTCCGTCTCTTCATGTTGACCTGGCAAAAAAGAATGGCCACCTCCGGAATTGGCATGTGTGTTGATAAGGATGGTCTGCCTCAGACCCTGGAAAGCATCCCGGAACTTTGCGATATCTCTATGCCGGCCTGCTGATAAGGATGACAGCACTACTGCGATTACCCTTGAATGAGACGTGCTCATATAAAGAGCAGCGAACAGTATCACCAAAAGGTAATTCTCAAATTGGGCTAACGCGACGGGATGGTAGCATCGTGCCGAACCGGAGAGCGTGAGCCCCCTGAGTGGGTGGACCGCCTTTCTTTTGCGAATCTTGGGGAAGTGAGCGATCAACAGATAACGGGGAGAGTGTCAAGTGGAGTGGGAGTGAGATGCTCACCCGTTGCGGTTTGTCATGAGCGACACAAATCACTAAGAGCCCCCCATGTCTGGGGGCCTCCAGGGTCTGGCCCGCGGGGACCGAACGGTGCTTATCAGGACGCTTGCACTAACTAAACGCAAGTCTCCCATCAGACCGCGGGCCAGAACGAGAGTTCAATAATTGAGACACGGAATAACCATCTTGAAGATCATTAAGGAGGAGAGTCAACTTCGGGATAATGTGCGGCATTGATCTCCTCCAATGTGAATCAGCCACCGCGCCGCGCGGCAGGGGTCCAAGTCTGACTTGTGCATGTGATTAGCGGCGCAGCATTGACCCCTTCGAGATGTCGATAGTAATATTGTACTATGCCTTTACTTTGGTGTCTGATAGTAATTGTCCTAGATTTCTGAGACGGAGCTTTGCGATATTGACAATCGGGATGGAAGTGCCCATGCCACATCGTTAGCCATGAAGTGAGTGGGTGATCATCTGGCACATGGCTCCAAATTACATCATCGCAACATGAACAAGCACAAGTTACTGATTATCAGGTCAACCAGCACACACTTGGTAAAACAGTCAAAGACATGTCTTGGCCAGGTAGTGGGTGACCTCGGTAATTAATTGAGAAACGTCAACGAAACACTCCGCTTATCCATGGCGACGTCACACGCATGGTCTGAATCAATGCAAAGACCAAGCCACCAATGCTACTGGCTTACACCCATTCACTTGTGAGACAGCAACCCATTCACGCAAGAGACAACAATTGAGAAAAGTGATTCATCTTTTATTACCAGACTGACGGCAATCTAACATTGCGTAATACACAAGAAACACTCAAGTAAATGTTGACGCGTTCCAACGCGTTTGTCAGTCCTGAAGGGTATCTTCCGGCCGTTTCGCATAAAGCTCAAAAATCATACAAGGGACGAGGAGGCGTAGGAAACCATTACCACCGTCATTCTGTGACACCAAATTGTTTCTTCTCACACATCGCTCAAGCACCGTAGTGGTTCATGGCGGGCTTGGTGGTGTCCGCGTGGGCCGCATGACCACGGGATCGCATGTGAGCCAAGCCCTCCATGACAGTCAAGCCAGTAAAGATGGCCCAGATGAAGAAGCCAAAGGCGACGGCAGCCTGGGTGGACTGGCAGGGGGTCGAGCCGTGGCAGTTGGGGACACCAATCTTGGCAGCCATGGCAATGGAGCCGGCAAACCAGAAGATGGTGGTGACGGCGAGCAGGCCGAGAGCGACGACGCTGTGGTAGAGGCGGGAGGCGAAGAGGGGCGTCAAGGCCAGGTAGAACAGGATGAGGATGGACCAGACCGAGTTGAAGAGCATAAAAGAAAACGACGAAGGGGTATCGCCGCCCCAGCCCCAGCTGCGAGGGTTGCTGATGTCGACAACTGGGCAAATGTTAGCATGGCAATGGTTGTGAGGGAGCCCACTGTTCGGACTTACCATATGCCGTCAAACCAAGCTCAATGATGAGGAAGATCGCCAGCACGGCGTGGATAATGGTGATGATTCCCATAGCCATGGCGACGGTTTTTATCGGGCTTTAGGTATAAGAATTAAGCTTGTCTGGAGTGAGATCGGAGCTTCGGAGGCGAGCACTACAAGATTCAGGTCGGGGTTGAGGAAAGAGAAGTCTAGATGATCAGCAACAAGAGGAGCGAAGGTAGCACTTTAAGAAGACGGCAGCTTCGGCAAGATGGCAGTGACTTCACTGTAGCAATGACGGAACTCTGTCAGGTGGCCCAGCCCATTCAAGGAAACGAGGCCAGCCCAGCCCTACCGGACAAGAAAAGTCGATACGTCAGGACAAGCCCACGGAATAGCGCATTCGCTCTTGGTCGGCAGTCATCAAGTCCGGCTTGAACCCTTCCAAGAGCGTCGTCGACCAACCAAATGCATTCACACAACAGCGAGTGGGTGTGAAAGAACAGCAAGTGGAGCGAGGATCCCTTCGATGACGACGACGCTGAATGGTTGGATTCCCGGTTCGAGAGCTTCTTGTCACGGCAGATTGGGTGGTGATGGGCAAGAATGGCAGAGCGTGGCGTCGCGTGAATGACGTGTTGTGCTCGAGATTTGCCCATCTTCTGACGTTTTTGGTGTGTATCCGTTGAGCCTTGGCAGATGAGGTCATGCTGCGTGGCTGGGGCGTGGCTCAGTTTGACACGGCAAGAAACTCTCCGGGGGGCACTTTCAGTGCCGTTTGTCCTAAAAGAGCGCTAAACTCCCCCGCTGAAGAACCTTGGGGCTCAAAAAAAAAACTTATGACCGAGAAGCTTGAACCCGAACACGAGGTCTCAGCATTCCTCAGCCATCAAAACAATCATCATCTCCTGACGACGACGACGAGCCGCCCGACGCGACGACTCTTTTTGGTTCCGTCGCCTCCGATTCCCCAATTGAAGCTTGCGCGTTTGCCGTGAAACTGAAAAATGCGAACACAGCCTTGGCTCGGCAGCTGAAAGCCGTACGGTAGCCAACCCATTTTTAGCGTCGAAGGGCTCATCCTGGTTTTTGTGGCCTTGGCCCTCCCTTGACCCAGTAGTTCTTCCACAGACTGTGGCGACGACAGTGGAAACGCGTTTCATGGTCGGCCTCAGGTCTTGCGGCCTGAGATCCATCCAATGGATCCCTTGGCGCTTCCATGCTTTGCTGGTTAGCAACCACTGGACCCAACGTTTCATGCGAACGGCCTCGAAGGCCTCTGAACCAACGAACATAAGCCCAAAGGATATCAAATTAACCCTGTCGCCAGGCTTCAACGTAAATCACTAAAAAGCAACCAGCTATTCGTGTATCACATCTATCCAAACGCCCTAACCATCCCGTCAATGCCTCAGAGGCCTCTTTGACCCCGATCCTCATACACGACCGTCACAGTCGTCGTCTGAACAATCGCCCGGTCGCCCTCATCACTGTCCTTGCGTGGATCCCAAAGCCGCGTTTCAGATGCAGCGTCTCCAAATTTGTTGATGGACTCTTGTCGTCGAAGGTGCTTGATCATCTTTTGCGGCTGAGCACCTGTTTCATAGGCCTTGACCTCGGTCTCTGTTGGTTCGGCCTGACCAATCGTCTTCAAGTCGAAGCCGGCTTCTTCAATATCCATTCCGTATTTGTCGACTTTTCCTCTGTTTGCGACGCTTCCGATCGTCCGGAACGGGTGCCCTCGCGTTCCTTTGCTGCCGCTTGCAGCATACCCAGCCGACGACCCTCGTTCACCGATGAGCTTGGGTGCCACGTGAATGAAGAACCGTCGGAGCGTTGTTAATGAGGCGCATATCACAAGAAGGTTGGCTTCAACATAGCTGCGGCCTCGTTAGTCAAGGTCTTTCTGAGGATGTGACAGACTTACATCCAGACCACGGCACTGGAAATAACCCAGGTCGTGTCCGTGGTGGTGAGAATCGGCATCAAGAGTATCAACCGAACAATCGACGTCACAAGTGTGCTGTATCTCGGTTAATGGCACTTCAACTCATATTGTCGTGTCAAGTACTCACGCAGATCCAATCCCAAACAGCAGGACCAGACCAGCCTTTTGCCTCGGTGGCATTTGCAAGCGCATGATCATAGGCATCGGCATCACCAACAACAGGAGATCCGACGCGATACCAAGCGCTGCAGTGCAAATGTAAATGGCCGGTCGGTTCACGCAGCTTCCCTCAGTCACCCTCACATCCCAATGCTTGTTGAAGGGTCGGCAGCCAAAGATTATGGCGAAGAATATCGAGATGTTGTACCCGGCCACAAGGAAGAGAACAAAGTACAGGCTCCACTTCCACCAGCGTTGCGGTGAGAGCTTGCGGTAGAAGAGGATCAGCGACATCTTGGAAGCGCCAGTGCAGATTGCATAGAGAATGGGCGAGATGACCATGAACTGGTACTATCAGCAATTCATTCATGTTGGTCGAGTGGTGCAACTCACCTTGCTCCCGAAGATGTAGTCATCAAGGGAGAGTTCCCATGCATGCACTCCCATCAACCCCAAGTAATACGATCCTGTTGGGAGTGAACACCATGAACACCAACACAATATCGAGCTATTACTTACGAAGGGCCACGGCTTGAACCGCGATAGAAGATAGCCACGCGAGAATAAGGCATGCTGTTCATACTCAGTACATGCTACCGACACCGATCGAAGGGGCCAGGGGGGCACGTACCTGTCTCTCCATCTGCTTTCCGGAGAAGCCCCAACTTGACGTACATGAACTGAAGGAAGAAAAGGGCCGCTATCGCCATACCGAGACCCGATACCACATACGACTCGATCTCATGTCGCCTCTTGGGGTGCTCAAAGTCGACATCGTAGTCATCCGGTGGTGCTACCGCAACTGTGACGCCATGGACGACTGGGAACTCTGGCATGATGGCCCAGTCTGCGGCATCCACCCAGGTGCCAGTGTCTTATGCAGATTGAACGATCGACGGAGCTCGTTGCTTTTTCGCAGATGCCGGTATTGTTTCTCGTTTCGTATTAATGTCAACGTCGTGGGACTCAACAAGGCTGGGCAAATCGGCTCTGATGAAGTACAACCTCACACCAGGTGAGTGATTCAACACCGCAAACTTGGACCACAAAGAGAATGAGACAATCAACCCAACGAACGCTTTCTCCAAAAGCAAGCAAAGAAGCATCAAAACAAGAAGAGATCCAACATCGAACAACCCAACAACCTGGGGCCTCCTACTCTTAAACCATCTCCCCTTTAAACCCACGAAACAATCCTTCAATCCTCCAAGGCCACTTTTGTTTCCACAATCCAGCATCAGCCTTATCCATCCGCACGAGGTACGGACCATCCACTGCCCTGGGACACGCTGCAGGATGCAGTCGTGAGACGGAGCGCGCAAGGAGATGCCCGAGAGGAAGAGTCTCCACTGATGTGATGGTAATGGGGATCCGCGGCCGGGATGGCGTTCCCATGTGGGATGGCGTCCTTTCGGGGGCTTTCCGATTGCGGGGAGTGGAGAAGAGGGTGGTTTTATCGTCAGATATCAGATGCATCTTTGAGTTTAAGATCTGATTGTCTTTCGAAGGATTAATATGGCTAGCGTTAAGGATCAGTTGGCGATACTATCGCAACTTCAATTACACTCTACGAATACAGAGCTCCATCGTTAGCTTTGTTCATCTTTCATCCCCTTCTCAAACAACATGACGGTTAAAGAAGCAAAATCCACAATGATCAAACACTTTGACAGGGGTCGGGTCAGGACGGCCAACAACTCCACCAGATCCATGACTCGAACTTTGCATACGACGCGCACGGTTAACAAGACAGCGCATGGTTTCGTTTCAGCTACAGTGCTTTATATGAGTGGACATTTCCGGCTGAATCTTTGCCCAAGAACACAGGTCAGGACAGTTATTGTAGCTTCGATAGTCAGATCTATGGGTCGATACGCGTGACAAGGCCCGAAAGTAAGAACGGCATGAAGAGTTAATATACTCAAGAAATTACATTACTGCAGGTTCAGCTCCCTCCCCTGGATATTTGCTTAATCGCAGCATCATACAGTTGATCCGTACTGTCATCATCCCCCGTCTCCATCCCGCTCCTCTCATGTTCTATCTCAATCTTTGTCGTCACAGTAATCTGCTCGTTTCCCCTCCGCGACGACGGCAACTCTTCAAGATACACAGTCTCCGGCTCGGGATTACTCCCTGAGCGCAATTTTCCAACCTTGGGCCTGTTTCCTGATAGCTCGACGAACCCGCCAGTGTGATGGTGATGCGACTCTGGGCCTGAGGGATTCGAGCCGCCGCGGTTCTGCACAAATTCGACCAGCTTTCCCAAAACTGCAAACTCGAGCTTGAGCTTGATCGAGTAGACGACCACTTTTATCCCCTGCTCCAGCGTGTAGTGGTTCTTATACATGATGACCAACAGAGCAATGTCCATGGCCACAATGACGAGGTTAATGATGAAGAGGTGCCACATGAACTTGCGCTTGCTTCCAAACGACGTCTTGAGAATGTCGACCGTTTTCCAGATGTACAACCCCGAGATGATGAACTCTTGGACGCAGAAAAACGTCATCTGGACCTTTTCCATCATCTTATATAGAGGCGTAGTCTGACTCCCATTCAAGCTCGACGAAGACCTCGTAACGAACAACAACACCGTCATAGTCGTGTGCCACGTAACCCCGTTAAAAACAATCATCCAAAACACTGCACGCTGGATCTGAATGTTGCTGAGGACTAGATGAAGCCGCGAGTACAACACGACGGACTGTCCAGTGATGAGGAGCACCCAGCCGGCGCTGCAGATGGCCATGCCGACATACCTGACGACCAGATCAAAGTAGTCAATCAGCCAGCCGAGGGTGTATGGCACGACGCCAAATGCCGCGAGTAGAAGACTCCAGAAGTAGAGGCCTCGACGGTGCTTGAAGGTGGTGAAGATGAGTGCGAGAAGTTCGAGGCCGTTGTACAAAGCCAAAGCCGAGCAAGCCTATCAACAGATTAGTCACCGCTACACCGTGCTTTCGAATACTTACAATGACCATGACAGACTCGGAGCTATACGTCAACCCCGTCACCTTACCGGCTGTTGTCACAGACATCATGTCCCGCCGATCGCTCAAACGTCAAGGACAGGAAGAGATGGATTGAGTAAGACGAAGGTGACTCTAGACGGGAGGGATGTGGGGACGAAGAAGGTTTAAAGGGTTTCTAGTCGAGACAAACCCCTCCTTACCCAACCCTCACGCTATCAAGTTACTGAACCTGTTGAATCCGGGGTACTCCATGGGGTAGAATCCGGGGGCGGGGACTACTGACTCGAGTAATGTCACAACATGTTATCTCTCACTCAAGTCTCCCGACCCCATACTCCTTTAGCCTCTCATTCCCCAGACTCTCGCGTGAGTAAAAAGGGATGGAGAAAAGGATTCGGCCATTTGGACAACGAGAGCTGAAGGATGGTGGAGGAACCATGACCTCACATCCTTGCCCAAGCTGGGGTTCAAACCAAGCTACTCTATAGCGCCGTCTTTTATTGGTTGCTCCCATCGGCGAAACTTGCCTGGAAAGAGCGAGTCCTCGTCGGGAATTGCTTGTTCGAGGTGATCGTCAAGAAGGGTAATTCTCTCCACGAGGCTGATGCTAAAGAGGAAGTCCTGTCAGCTTGTTATTAAAGAAATCATATTTCCAAACCTTTTTTTATTGTTCAATGCCCCCTTCTTCACACCCTTATTTGATGCATGTTTAATGAGCCACCGTTACGAGGCGTCTTCTAGAACGAGAACGCTTAACTCTAATCAACACCTTCGACGACAACGCACACGCAGCAAAAGAGATACAAGAAAAGACTTCTTCAATTCTTCAATTCTATCTTCTAATCATTATCATCTCATCATTCCTTTACTTGAGGCCAAAGCAGTTGGCGTAATAAGTAACAGTAGCACTCCAGTCGGAAAAGACGCCAACAACTCCAATCTGTCGGAACACATCCAGCAGCTTGAACACATCGCCGTCGTTGTCAACGATCGAGGCAATGGTGGCATAGTAGTAGTTTCCGTCAGCTCCGTTCTTTAGGGGACCGGATCGCTCCAGACTCCAGGTGACAATGTCGAGGCCGAGCTTCTTGGCCTGGGTGGCATACACGCTGGGGACAATCTCGCCGTCCTTGGCCGCGACGAGGTAGGGCAGAGGAGGCGCAATGTATTTCACACCATCAGCAGCATAACGAGTCAGGTTGGCGACGGCAGTCGGGAAGGTCTCGGGGGTGTCGCCCGTCTCGTCGAGGTACATAGCCTGGCGGGCAAACTTGGGCTCAGCCTTGAGCCAGTACAGCATATCATCGTACAGGAAGCTCTGCAGGAAGACGTTCTTGGGCTTGACGCCGGCCGCCTTGTACTCGTCAATCAGCTGCTGCGCATACTTCTCCTGCGTGTAGTCGCCCTGGAACGGCATCTTGACCTCGGGCGTCTTAAGCTCCGGGGTGTGCTTGAGGCCGAGCGACTTGGTGAGCTCAATGTGCTCCTTGAGTGTCATGACGGTGCCGCACGTGGCGTACAGGTCGGTGCGCCAGTTGGGCGTGCCGTCGAGAAAGTCGGCGGCGTTGGTGGCGCTGGCGTTGAAGCCCTCCATCTTTGCGCACAGCGTCTTAAACTCCTTGAGAGTAATGTCGCTGGTGCAGCACTTAGCCGAAGCCGGCTTGCCGTCCTTGGCCGCTGTGAAGGGCTGAGTGCACTTCTTGTTAAGCTCGGGAATGGTGACGATGTTGGTCGTGTAGTGGAGGTCGCACTGCGAGTGTCGGCACACGAGCTGGCGATCCTTGGTGAAGGCCACATCGCACTCAAGGATACCAGCACCCATACGGGCTCCGGCGAGGTTGGACTCGAGAGAGTGCTCGGGGATCATGAGGGTACCACCACCGCGGTGAGCAATGGACCACTCCGAGGGCTTCTGACGCTTCTCAGAGCACGACTGGAGCTTCTTCTTGAGGGGACCCTCGTCCATGTTATTGGCGAGGAAGTAGGGTCGCGGGCCAAGCTCGATCTGCTTGATGGGCTTGTACTCGCCATAGTTGGGCTTGGGCGCGGCCGCAGCAGGGCTCACAACCGCAAGACCGGCGAGGAGGGAAGTCGAGAAGCGCATCTTGGACAAGAACGAGTCAATTGAGAGACACAAGAGACAAACGGCACAAGGGAACCAAAGCACCAGGTCGGTCTGGTGAGGAGCGAGGAATTGAGGCCGCAATTGAGACTGAGGCTGACCAAACACCAGAACGACTTGGATACAGCCTGGGCACCCTCCAGGTTTTATGGACGTTCAACCACAGCCTGGGGAGAGTGATCCGCGACGGATAAGCCTATTCAGGAAGCTCACCCAGATGACGTCGCAGCGAGGGTCCCGTCTCCCAGGGACGGGTCGATTCCTTACCATGGCGCACTGGGAGCTCCAGCTGATGGTCCTTCGCCGAGACCTCGGTGTTTAGGATTGGAATAGCCCCAACCCAGGCGAAGGGATCATGACGCCGATCACATACTTCACAGGTCAACGTCTGCAGTAAAAACACATGGTTTCGGAAGCTCGCGGTGGGAACACAAGCTCCCCTGCCCACGAGGAAACGGTATCTCAACGGGCACGTGTGGAGAGGAGGCTGGTATCGTTGGAGGACAAGAGCGGGGGAGATAGTCTGCAGTGTCGCACTGAGAGGATCAGCCGTGGTCGATGCGTGTCTAGTTCGAAGCTTATGATTCGTCATGCAGGAGCTCAATTGGATGGACCCTAGCTCAGAGCTATGCATATCCCGGTTAAGGTAAACACCAATATCTCCGGGACAAGTCTTTAATTCGCGGATGAATATCTCTATCCGGGATGGCCGAGTCGACAAGGCTTGGCAGTCATGTCATTGCCTGCATATGCATTTTGGCGAGCACGTGGAAGCGGCCTCTTGGTGTTATAGCTCGTCCTTAGCTCCATCGGCTGCTCGTATCTTACGAACTGCTTCAGTCGTCGTCTTGAAGTGTCCGAATTTCGGTGCGTCTTCTCCGAGGCCCCAAGCAAACACCCCGCCCACGTTGGCCTGCGGGACAACATCGTCCATCTTTCTCTGGATACTCTGCTCAGTATCGAACGACCACCATCGGAGCTCTGGAGAATCCCAGTAGTAATAGCTCCCATCATCGTCATAGCTTCCCTCATCTCGCGCACGGGCAAACGATTCAGCCACATCACCGGGAATCTCGTCGTGCCAACTGAAGGCGCCCGTCTTACCCAGATCCGCCCCAGTCTTGGGGTCCTCGAGTAGCTGAGTAGGACAGCCTATCGGGTTTGAGGCATCGCACTGTTCCGTCAAGAACCACTTGACATAGTACCCAAACCCAAGGTTGAGCCTCTTTGGCGAAGCACCGCGGTCAATGTAGCGCTGGACGGCGTCTCGTGAGTCTGCAACGCCGCTGTGGTGCTTGGTGATGTTGTCGCGACGGTTCATCAGATCGTACGTCATGACGCTGAGAAAATCGACCTCTTTCATGATTCTAGGGACCGTGTCGGATGTGAATGCCATCAAGTCGACTTCTTTGCCAGGCACTGCAGCAGACAAAAGCTTGTCGGGTCCCAGTGCAACGCGAAGATGCTGGAGGAGCGAGACAAAGGCCTCAATCTCCCATTCACGCTTCGAATTCGGAACCAACTTGTAGTCATCACGATTTCCGCTGGTTTTCGAGTCAGTAAATCTTCAACCCGTGTCGGTGAAGAGAACGTACCCCGGATACTCCCAGTCAATGTCGACGCCGTCTGCCCCGGTCGCATCGACCATGGCAGCCACCTGACGAGCCCATCGCTTCCTCGACATCTCACTTTTTGCACCTTCCTCGAAACCCTGGGTATCGCCCCATCCACCAATCGCCACTATGACTTTGGTGTCGCGTGAGAAGCTAGAACGGACCTCGTTGACCGTGGTGAACAGAGGGAATTCATCGGGAGTCTCGTCGACATTGAAGACTTCGGAGCGCATAAAGGCAAGAATGACGTGGGATACGTCTCTGGTGTCTTCTTTTCGGGGAACAACATTGTGCTGGCTGAGATAGTCAGTGTGTTGCCCAGCCGTCATCTTTCCACCTCTGGTGAGGGAACAGAACTCACCCAGTCAGGTACATGATGCAGCGGAAAGGCTCTTTGCTAGAATCAGCAGTCGCCATTGCTGAAAGCGCCATGAGCCATGCGCAGAAGAGGCTCACGAAATGCATCTTGTCGGTCTCAATTATGACAAGAACAGTGTTGATATTAGCGGAAGGGAGGTTGGGTGGTCGCAGGTGAAGACCCACCCACTCGCAGGCGTTGGCCACTGTAGCTGATCACGCACCGTTGGTACATACAAAGAGCGGCTGGTCGCAGACCGTCGCAGCTCATCAGAATAGTGGCTATTCTCATTCTTATTCATCCTTGTTAGCCCCTGTTAATACCCTTCATGGATGCTTTAGAGCGCGCAGACTTCACTATCACTCAGTCAGACACAAGAAAGTTCATGGCAGCCGGCTAATACGCGACTCGGCCTTGATGTGGTTGTGTTTTTTATCCACAATGTAGGTAGTTAATGTAGGTGTACTGTTTACAGGATATTCGTTGCTTGCTTTGTTACTTCGTTAAACGTGTCCGTTAGACAATGCCATAGCTCTTCAAGATCCGGCTCAGCTCCTTTAGTTGCACCGGTTTAGAGAGGAATAGGTCCAACCCCGTCGCAAACGCATCTTCTTGCGCTTCTTTCGAGGCCAGCCCCGATATGGCAAATATGTGGCACCGTGGAAGGTGCTTCTCCTTTTCGAACCCCCGAATCAGGCGAGTCGCCTCGAATCCATCCATCACTGGCATGGATATGTCCATTAGAATGCACCGATAGCGTCCACCTCCGTCTCTGTAGGAATCAACGGCTTGTCTCCCATCCGTTGCTGCGTCGTATACGTGGCCAAGCTTCTTCATGAATGCTTGAAGGATTCTCATATTGATTGCATTGTCTTCTACGAGAAGGAAGCGGGGCTCGCGAGTATCCTGGGGTTTCTCTTGAGCAGGCGGCTTGGGGGTACTGACTTCTTGATTGGATTCCGTAACTTCGAGACGCGGTCGCTTGGCACCGTTGCTCTGGTCACTGAGTTTGTAGGGAGCCTCATCGACTTCTGGCGGCGGAGGGAGCCGGTCAAGTATCGTCGAAATGCTTGACACCTCGGCAGCCGATGCCTGCATTTTCACCCATCGCCTGAAACTAAGCACCAGGGCCTTGGCCAGCTTTCTAGGCCCAATACTAAGCATCATAAACTATCAGTAGCTGCTAATCATCCAGTCAAAAACGGGGGGTTAACTTACGGGCGAGAGATGAAGCTGAACAAGCCCCCGTTGAGTTTTTGCAGCGATTTGTGTGATTTTTCCCTCTTCCGAGCTGCTGCCACACTGTGGCATACGACAATGACGGGAGACGAGGATTCGTCGCGCGGCTGTTTCGTAAGGAGTCCAACATGATTCTCGTCGCAAAGGATCAGATCTGGGAGAAACTCTGACCTCTCATCCATGTCGACAACCTGCATGCGCAACCAGTCTTGGCATATTTTCTCCAGAGACCTCTGTTCGTCAAACTCCTTTAAATTCCACTGAGAAAGGTCCAACCCCCTGTAGGAGGGTGAGAAGCCCAAGACCGCGACGCGCAGACGGGACAGCTCAATCACTTGTGCCTTGAATTCGTCCCGTTCGGCCACTGTATCGGTCGCCTCAAGACTAGAAACTTGAAGTGGAAGCTTCACAGTCGCTCTCGTCCCCCTGCCCACCAGACTCTGGATTTGAATCGAGCCACCAAGTGCTTTGACAAACTTCCTCACAAGGCTAAGGCCAAGACCGGCTCCCGCAGAATGCGTGTGTTCTTGTGTAAATGGTTTGAACAGGCTATGGTTGAGATAATCTGGCCCAATTCCCGGTCCAGTGTCGACAATGTCAATGTGAACAACTCGATCTCTCGACCCGCGCTGACTTCGGGGTTCTTGGTAGGCCGCTACCTTGACGAAGCCACGATTCGTGTACTTGAGTGAGTTTCCGCATAGATTCATAATGATCCTTCGAAGCGCGCCCGGTTGAGAATGGAATGCCCATTCCACTGCAGGATCAATGTCCAGGATCACCACGACTTCTTCAGAGATCTGTTGCGATCTGTTTGTACTGCCAAACGCATCCGAGTTCTCCGCGGCATCTATGCCGTCAAGTATACTATGCGGATGAGTATCAGTGTTTTCCGGTGACTCTTGATTACGGAAACGAAACAAGGATTGCTCTTGGTAGGTGTGTCCGGCGTGGACACATTCGACGATTTCTTCCACCAACATGTCCACATCCAGATCCGAAGTGATGTACATCATCCCATCCGACACCGAATTCCTCTGGGGAGATTGCACGCCCCGTCTCGGTGGCCGCGTCAAATGTGTCGGTGGCTCTCTTGGACTCCGGATGAAGTTGTTGATCTTTGACCAATCAAGCAAGTGATTGATGGTATCAAGTAGAGTGCGGCCGCAAACTTCAACAGAGCGAAGCACATCGCCTTGAAACACATCCAGCGAAGTGTCGCGGAGGAGCTCTGCACACAGAACGATTCCGTGGAGCGGAGATCGCAGCTCGTGGGAGAGTGAGCTGAGAAGACTGGTGGATGCCGAGGTCACAATCGAGCTGTCCATCAATGCCACGTCGGCCATGATGACTGTGCCAAATGCCGATAGATAGCTGAGCTCACCCTGGACGGTAAGGATGCGTGTGGGTGTCATGGTGTAGACAAAACAGCCCGAACACCAACGCTGCTTGTTTGCATCCCAGAGAGGTACGAAAGCGACGCTGCGGGCTCCCGGGAAGAGATTTGAAATTACTTTACCCTCATTCTTGCGCGAGAATACATCTTCATGCCGTCGTGTCAACTTTGGGTGATCACTCTGGTCATTCTCGTGACCAATTGAACCTTGAGCAGAAACCGGCGTAGCTTCTTCTCCAGAACGGCTACTTGAAGCCAACACCCCATGATGATCAAAGTTGAATATCTTTCCCCTTGGATAGCGGCGAAGCAATCGTTGCAAATGTTGTTCAGGTAGTGATTGATTGCGAGCTGTTGGATCCTGGCCATCGATGCTGCTCGATATAGAAGTGGAAAACCCCAAGACACTACAGGTGGCTGGCGCTGCATCCGAATTGCTCGAAGGGAAGGGATTTGCGTTGAACTCGCTATAGTTTGAGGATGAGGATGAGGAGGATGGGCGCCTTTTGGTGCTCGAGTACCGTGGGAGGCTTCTACGGCCAACGAGGACAGCAAAAGATGCAACGCTCGCGTCCAAGAAGAGCACACCCTCGACCTCGATGGATTCCCTCAATATGTTGGCAGCTTTTGAGAAAATTCGGCGCAACTGTACGTGTCGGGGCTGATCTATCAGCAGCATTGATTGATCGCTATGTGGACCAAACGATGCAGACGCCCCGGCTTCAATGGGACTAGCAAGGACAAAGGGCTCCGTCAGCGGTCTGCTCTTTTCGGGCTCGGTCGTGTCGATGATGGAGTCGGGCGCAAGCTCATCTTGTCGACGCTGCAAGTCTTGCTGCCCGGAATTCAGGGAGCCCTCCTCGGTAGCATGATTCGTGTCGAAGGCGTGGCTGAAACTGCCCTGCCAGCCAGACATGGTGGCCTTTCCCTCGACATAGCTCCCCAATCCGCGCACCATGCGCTCTGCGGGGCGACGGCCCTCGCCAGATCGTCGCAGTTCTAGATGATTCAGGATGGCTTTCGAGACATCTTGCATGAGGTGAATGGACGCATCATCCAGGCCCGGGCGGGGCTTCGCATCGAAGATGCAAAAGACGCCAATGTTGATGCCCCGAGGGGACTGAATTGGAACACCCGAATAGAAGCGATTCTGGGGCCAGCCTTGGCAATAGCTCTTTTCTCGGAAGACGGCGTGCTCAGAAAGGTCGCGAATGACGGTGACGGGGAGCCTCCCAGAGGAAGGTGGTTCGGATGGCGAGTCCGACTGTTGAGGGGTAAGAACGTGCTCGCATACTCCAGAGGACCTGGGGATGGAAGTTCCACAGAGCCAGAGTCGCTCTGAGTCATAGGTTGGCGATTCGGCGCTGGCAGATATGCTGAGCGTAGGCGTGGCCTCGGCGATGATGTGTTGACGCTGGCAGTCGAACAAAGAAATGCGGGCACGAGAGGCTCCTAGTCTCAAGACAGCGACCTGAGCCAGGGCTGTCAGGGCTGGATCAGGGCACGAGCGGAGTGCAGACGAGGGTATCGGGTTTGCGATGTCATTGCGGACTGAGCTGGCAATCAGGATCGAGTCATATCTAATATGCACGGAGAATTAGATGAACTCTTGCACCGCCAGGATACTTGTGGTAATGGCGAAGGGTCCCAGTCGGAAACCGACAGGGGGGCTTGACGTACTTGAACGTTTCTCGTTCTCGAGTTGCCTCCATGATCCCTTTAGCTGCCATGGTCGAGGCTCATGCGCATGAGCCAAGGGTTGCGGAAGCGGACATGCGCATGTAAGGAGAAAGATAGGGCTCAACAATTGACGATCTCAATTTGTGTGCAGGCCAGTCTGAGACCCATATGAGCAGTAGGCAAGTTAGGTAAGTAGGGAAATACAGTAGTAGGTAGGTAGTGACTAGGTAAGGCCAAGGATGGATATCGCCACATTGTTGGAGGTGGGGTCGTTCTAGACCCAGATCTACAGGAGAAACGGCCACTAAGCAAGGTGTAACAAGGGAGCTACGGCGCCAGGTGACCACCATTTGACTTATCGCTTCGATCTCGATGGCAATCTACATGGATCTCCATCGTTGGTCAGGTAGAGCTACCACTAATAATCACTGTCTTGCGTTCCTTTTTTTTTTTTGGCTTTGATCAATGCCATTGACGGCATGATGTGGAGAGGCTTCTGGCTAATCATGCGATTCCTATTTATGAGCATCCTTTAGATGCGATTTGAGACCTGCTTTCTCGATTCTCCCATGCTGAGAGGTAAGATTGCCAGTCGGGAACAAGCTTTTCCACGCTGCAATCGTGACGAACTACGAACCCATCTCCGCCGCAAGTGACACGGTAATAAAGCGCCAACCTAGATAATTCACGATTTGTGCTCAAATGGTTCAGGCTGTCATGATAGAGTGGTACTTGGGGCAAATATGGACGACGAGAGATCGTTTCGTAGAATTGTAGGGTAGGCAGGTACCTGACACCACCGTGCCCAATCCGAGTTATCGACAGTATCGGCACTGTACAAGCTTTCTCGAGCTGCCGCTGCCATAATTTTTTTTCCCCAGCCTCAGATGTGAAACATCTCTATCTGCAGTTTCAACCAGGCTCCAGCCCATTGTACAAAATCCGGGCAAAAGTGTCAACACCTCAGCTCCCTGGAGTTGATTGACCCCTGCTCTGTTTCTAATCCTCAGTTTCTTCTGCTCCTACCTACTGCTCTCCATTCTTTCCAACCTGCGACTCGCGCCATCTTTCAATTATCCACCACCATGTTCGAAAACACATGCACGCTGCCCCTGACAGCCGATGTCTTCGCTACGGCCCTTCACCCTACCGAGCCGTTGCTCACCGTCGGTCTCTCCAGCGGACATGTCGAGACCTTTCGTTTGCCTCCCGGCAGCGGCTCTGACGAGAGCGCCGACGGAGATACCAGTGTCCTTAGTGATGGAAAGAGCATGATTGACTCTGTCTGGCGCACGCGAAGGCACAAGGGTAGCTGCAGGTCTCTTGTTTATGCCCACGACGGCTCAGGTTAGTACCGTTGAGGTCTCACATGCACTTCGGGTCAATACTGACAAGACACAGCCGTTTACTCGGCCGGAACCGACTCGCTCGTCAAACATTTCGAACCAACCACCGGCCAGGTCATTTCCAAGTTCGCCATCCCGAGTACAACATCGATGCCCGATGCGCCCACTCTACTGCACGTCCTGAACCCTCAGAGCCTCCTTCTCGGGACCGACTCGGGCGCTTTGCACATAATTGACCTTCGCGACGGCGCTCCTGGCAAGAAGCCTGCTCAAACTCACTTCCCCCACGCCGACTACGTCTCCTCGATCACACCTCTGCCGCCTACCAAGGAGAGCACTAGCGGATTTCCTAAGCAATGGGTCAGCACTGGTGGTACGACCCTGGCTGTCACAGATGTCAGGAGAGGAGTGCTTGTGCGCAGCGAGGATCAAGAGGACGAGCTGCTGACCTCGTGCTTCGTTCCCGGGATGGGTCCCAAGGGACACCGCGACAATGGCATACTGGCCATTGGCTCCGGATCTGGCGTCCTGACACTCTGGGACAAGGGCGCATGGGATGATCAACAAGAGCGCATCATTGTCGACGGCAGTAAGAAGAGCGGAGGTGAAAGCATCGACGCCTTGGTGCTTGTGCCCCAAGAGATGGGACTCGGAAAGAAGGTCGTCTGTGGCGTTGGTGATGGAAGCCTTCGTGTCGTCGACCTGGTCCGCCGTGAAGTAGATGTCTCGGCCAACCTGCGCCACGATCATATGGAGAGTGTTGTGTCTCTGGGTTTCGATTCGGAGAACCGGCTTATTAGTGCCGGAGGCAAGAGTGTCAAGCTGTGGGAGGAGCTCTCGGAGCTGCAAGGCGGCAACGAGGAGGAGGAGGACGATGATGACGACGACAGCGATGACAGTGACGAGGAGGAAATCAACTCTGGCAAGCGAGCCGCTGAGAGTGATAGTGATAGCGACGAGGACAGCGACGATGAGCGTGTCGCCGAGATGAAGCGACGGGCAAAGCGGCGCAAGGAGGTGCAGAGCAGCAAGCTGGGACCGATGGGAGCCCACGGCATCATGGGTTTTGATGGGCTGGATTAAAGGGGGAGGCGTACGTGGATGATATTTTTGATGGAGGACAAGTCACGTTGTGATACCCTGTGAACATGACTCTAGAAAGGAAAGGAAAGGAAAGGAAAGGAAAAACGGTTATAAACATGGATAGCAACCCAAGGCAGTTGCTAGCCAGCATGTCCTATCGAATGACATTGGTAATTCACACCTGCAATGAGAGATGGGAGAGAGAGTCTAGCCATATTATAAGTCGGCAAGAAGCCTTATTGATAACACTAGCAGTAGGAGCTAGCTATCCGGCGATTCAAAGAAGTCCGTCCTAGTAGACGGACATCCAACGACCCGTATGCAGTTGGTGGTCTTCCGAAACGAAGGCATCACAGAGTGAAATAACCAAGAGCCCCTCCATCGAGTCGAAACAAAACACGCCTCGGCCGATGCTACACGGCTTTTGAGGGTGGATTCCGGGGCCCAGCGGCCCCGTGGTAGTTCGAAGCCCAGCAGGCTCCAATGATGAGTCTCTTCCAACCCCAAGTTTTGACTCGAGGTGTGAGATGGTCTCTTGTTTGATCTGAGCAGAGGCAGTTGGGGTTCCTGCTCTTGAAACAAAGCCTCAGAGGCTCAGATGGTGGCGTCATCCCCTGAACTGCTCATGTCTTCTTGAGCATCCTTTGGGACTCGGTCTTCAGTCGCCATCTTGTAGAAGCGTCAGGCCTCAGATTCCGCAGAGCGCTTGCGCACTCGGCGGGCCGGGCACTGGCTTCTCGGGCTCGCATGGCATGCCCGATGGTGTTGGGGGGCAGCAGGTAGTGGTCGCATGTCGTGTATGTCGCATAAATCCATCTGAAGTCCGAGAAATCGGCGCCATTGGGTGTACAGTATGAAAATCGGAGTCTCAGGTACTCCTCGCCAATACAAGACTGGGAATACCAAGTCTCAAGGGGATGGGAAATCTGATTAGGGACCTCATGGTCCTAGACACCTGGAAGATTGATGTAGCTCCAACAGGCGTCTTCTGACTTGGTGTGTAGTTCGGCTCGGTCCTCCATAATATCCTCGTCGCTGGGTGCAGAGAACCGGGTTGGTGAGCTCGTGGTAAGGTCGTCGTCGTAGATGATGACAGCAGGGAGTGTTTTGGACTCTCGGGCAATCGCTCTTGCTGCCCTGGAGTTGCTTCCTTTACTGGCACTACGCTCACGGGGTACTGTGGTGCTGCTTTCGGAAACCATCTCGCTACCACTGAATGTTGTCGGGATGCAAATATGCGGGATCCCCTTGCGTAAACTAACAGCCCGGGCTAGAGTCACAGCTGAACCACTGCCGACACTAATAACACAGTCTCGGCCGGAGATTCGAGTAGGTACAGTGATGACGGCGGAGCTGAGGATGCGAGAATCGAGATTTGGAATGATGGCCTGGATCTTCCGAGCGATCTTTAATCGAGAAGGGCTCGAAACGATGAGTGGCGACGAAAGGCGCAAACTTGCCAGCTCAACGGGCAGCAAGTCGATGGCCTTGGGACCGATGACGACGCGGGGAGACGGGCTGTGGGCCGGACGGCGGGATCGCAGACGAGGAGTTGCGCCGGGAGAAGCGGCGCGCGAGGACCGAGGAGTGACGAGCGTGGAAGCCTTGACAGCGAGGGCGTTGAGCAGCTTGGCACGGATTGCGATGAGGTCCGGATCAGTTGCTTTCTGGGGTGGCAGCCGCTGTATTGTGTTGCCAGAGCGGATCATCAAGGCGGACGGATGCTTGTCGTCTGACAAAGCGGAATCGACGTTTATCTGAATATTGAGACTTTGGGCGGGCACGACATCAATGTAAATATCGATGAGTAAAAAAAAAAGTTGTCGGATTGATGGTGATGGAGTTGACGAAAAATAGGGATTTAAGATGTAAGGGACTTGTGGGAAGAGATGGCAACGGGACGAGGGGAAGAATACCTATGGGCAGATGAACGTGACCCAGAAGCGAAATATTGCTACAGCTAGGTAGCAGCAACCGAAACGCGCGTGCTATTGTCCATGGGAGCATTTTGTTGTGTTATTCGCCACAATATTAAACGCCACCCCTTGCTCTAACGTAAAGCACACAAAGGCACTCCCGGGACGAGAAGCGACCCGCTGGGCTAAGGGAGTTACAAACAGCGGAGCAGTATCTCCGTGGAACAAATGAAACCAATCTCTTGTGTTAGGTTGTTACTGCACAGTCGTACTGTAGAGGAAGCCCACTGGATCTAACTTGCTTTTCGGTCCCTGCATCAAGCCTGGACAAAAAAGCCTGCAAGACCCTGAAAAAAATGACGAAAGAGAGGGGACCTAGAGGGCCATGGGATAGGTAGACCCGTTGATGTCAACAAGACGTCAAAGGGAAGTGTGGTGGGGAGCTCTGGACCCTGGAGGGACCACCGTTGAGGGTTTTCCCTCCCGTCGGCTGTCTTGGCCGGAGTCGTGGCTTCGGGGATGCAAGGCATTAGCGTCGGGGGATACGGATCCCCCCCGTTGGCTTCCATCGGAACAGGTTCCATTAGCTATGATTGGTCGTCGTCGTCGCCCAGAAAGGATTGACTCTGTGTGCTGCCATCCCTTGCTGGAGAGGCTTCAGACAATTAGGCACTGCTGCTGTAATAGTAGAATAACAAACTTGTATTTAATCCACTGCAAGACCAGATAGTATCCTACCTGTGCCCTGGGCTGGACAGCAACCCTTGAGCACTCAGGATAGAGGGGACCTGATAACTCACTCCTCTCAAGACATCATTAATACCAACAACGAGGAAGAGTTGAGCCAGAAAAATGAAGAAATAAGAAAAGTGACTGATATGGATAGTAGGGAAACGCCTGGCAGGCGGTATGAAAAAAACACCGCCGGTCTGGCACCAAAATTGTATGGGGAGAGCGGCGGTGTTTTTTTCATACCGCCTGCCTGGGAAGGATGAACTTTTGGTGCGGAGAAGTCGCCGTGGCTGGATACCGTCATTTATACGTCTCTACTCTGTAACGCTGATCGTTTGCCCTCTTTGCACTGTGCTATGCCACAGCTGACGCTGCCGAGTGGGCAACCCGGACCAAAAATCGCGGAGGCGGGCTTTGGGGGGTTGCATCGCTTGTGGCTTGGGAGATCTGGGGAAGCCACAGCATGAGGCTTCACGATTCATTTCGAGCACGTACGTAATACCATTTTTTATCTTCTTTGATCTCGTTACAAACAATTTCGCAGAGATCAAGTCCACATTATTTCTATCTCGTCGCTCGATTCCGGAGCCGCAGTATGCCGCAGTATCGCAGAAGGCATCAATTTTTCCGGACAACGGTCACTGTCACGTAGGCACCTTCCGTAAACGACAGCAGCATCCTCGCCAATCTCATAATATGGCGAGACTGGATATCTTGCGGCAATCTAGTTTTCTCCTCTCTTTTTTCTCTGTATAGATCTCAACCATCCATCCGTTCGTCCGCCCGTCAACTATTTCCCTTTCCTGCCTACGAATGAGTTGCGTGGCAAGCTCTTCTCACGGTCTTCGCCGTTCGTCGACTCCGGGGTTGACCCTTTATGTTTAAATTTTCGATGCCATCAACGCTCGCGCTCCCGCCCGACTCCGTTCTCGGAAATCCCAATCACTCTGCTATCATAGCGGATGTGGCCGAAACCCGGGGTCTCGCATCCGCCCTATCTTATCTGATAGCGCTACTCCTTTTTGGATGCCCAGAGCTGAGCAGTGGTCGCGGGCAGCAACGTGCCTCGGTGAACTCTGTCTGGAGCCAAGAACTGCCTCCACCTGCAAGATAAACAGAAGCAAGTTGGATGGCCACAGCGATGAAATCCATGTCGTTGGTGCCACAACCTCCGCGATGGCGCCCCCTTCCCCGGCCATGCTTGATCTAGCGCGCGGGCTGGAGGACCGAAGCGAAGCCATCACATGTATTACCTTTCCAATCGAGCTCTGTTTGTCATCGCCACATTTTCTTGACAGCGATTAGGCGAAGCATCCTAATCTGTGGCAAACAGTTTACCCCGGACGATGGACTGATGCACCCGTCGATGCGATCCCAGCCCAATGGTTGCTCCAGGCCGTCCTCCATATCCCCCACGCCGTCGGCGCATTTCGACCTGCTCCCCGCCTTCGGTGATAACGAGCTGAAAATTTTTGGCATCCCGGATGTAGCTCAAGGTTGCACCTTCACCAGAAGTTACTAGGCACACGCAAACTCACCGGGGAGACAAGAGATGATCTGCCCTGACCGTCCCTGTCGTTCGATGTCATCCTATACCAAAGATGGCCTCAGGGACCCGCATACGCCCACTCGAAGCCCCATCCCCGGCCACTCACCGAGCTGAAGGAGGCTGATAAGCTATCTCTGGGACAAAACTGTCAGTACTGAGACCTTGAACTATCTGCGCCAAAGTTGGCCGCCGGCTCCGAAACGCCCAGCACCACGCGACAACGGCCCCATCCGAACGCTGTTCTGACTCTGGGCCGATTTGCGCAGAGTCAGTTGGCGATTCATACTTTAACTCGTCCATGTCCGACCGATTTACAACTTTTGTTTCGACCATCCAGGCATCATCTCGTCTTCGGTTCATCCAATTGCCTGCCAATTGGTCTTCTACTTTGCTCTAGGCTGTTCATGCACAAGGGTTGATCGACGGTGACCCCCTGTCTAGTGTCGACTCCTTCAACGATCGCCATCTAAGACCATATTTATCAAGTCGAAGCGAGCCATCATCGACCCATCTCTCTTTCTCTTCCTTTCAACACCACAAAAATGGATGAAGATCAAGGCCCGCGGTCCATCGTGCCCGAGCACGCACCTAAGAAGTCGGTTGGCCAACGTCTCAATGGCCTCCGGAAAGCCTTCACCACCAGGCATGGCCTCATTGGCGACTACAACTATGCCTTTCTCTTTCGACCAAACCTGCCCTTCATGAAGAAGAGCACAAACGCGAGTCCCTTTTTCGGCGTCAACGACAAGATGCCAGTTCTCTTGGGTCTTCTCCTGGGGTTTCAGCATGCACTGGCCATGTTGGCGGGTGTTATTACTCCTCCCATGATCATTAGCAGTAGCGCCAATCTGCTACCTGATCAGAAGCAGTACCTTGTTTCGACCGCTTTGATCGTCTCAGGTATCTTTTCTGCTGTTCAGATCACTCGTTTCAAGATCTGGGGCACCCCGTATGCGTATCCTTCCAACAATGCCCTGATTCTTTGACTGACCTGGATTTCCTTAGGTATTTTATCGGCACCGGTCTGTTGTCCGTCGTTGGTGTCTCTTTCAGTGTCATTCCCGTCGCCCAAGGCAGTCTCGCTCAGATGTACGTCAATGGATACTGCCCTTCCGACTCTGATGGCAATCCTCTCCCTTGTCCAAAGGGCTACGGAGCCATCATCGGCACATCTGCAGTGTGTGCTCTTCTGAACATCCTGATCTCGTTCATCCCCGCCAAGTTCTTGCTACGGGTGCTTCCCCCGATTGTCACTGGCCCTACGGTCATGCTCATTGGTATCAAGCTCATCAAGTCTGGTTTCTCTAACTGGATGGGCGGCAGCGGAGTCTGTATGACTGCTACTGAGGGACTGTTCGCTATGTGCCCGGATATTAACGCGCCTCACCCTCTCCCCTGGGGATCTGCAGAGTTCCTGGGCTTGGGTTTCTCCGTCTTCGTGACCATTGTCCTTTGCGAACGATTCGGTTCTCCCATCATGAAGTCTACCTCTGTGGTCATCGGATTGTTGACGGGTTGCATTATTGCTGCTGCTTGCGGTTACTTTGATCGATCCGGCATCGACGCTGCCCCTGTGGCCTCCTTCGCCTGGGTTCATACCTTCCCGCTCTCGGTTTACGGTCCTCTCGTCCTCCCTCTCATGGCCGTTTATCTCGTCTGCGCCACCGAAGCGATCGGCGATATTACAGCCACCTGCGATGTCTCGAAACTCGAAGTTACCGGAAAGACGTACGAATCGCGTATCCAGGGCGGTATCCTCTCGGACGGTCTTGCTGGATGTATTGGCTCTCTCATGACCATGACTCCCATGTCCGTCTTCGCCCAGAACAACGGTGTTATCGTTCTTACCCGTTGTGCCAACCGCAAGGCTGGTCTTGCTTGCGCCATGTTCCTCATCATCATGGGTGTCTTTGCCAAGTTCGCCGCCTCTCTTATCGCCATCCCCTCCGCTGTCCTTGGTGGCATGACTACCTTCCTCTTCAGCGCCGTCGCCGTCTCGGGTATGTCTATCATCGTCCGTGGCGTGCCCTTTACTCGCCGCAACCGCTTCATCCTTACTGCTGGCTTCGCTCTTGGTTTTGGAGCCACTCTTGTCCCCAACTACTTTGACAATATCTTTACCTACAAGGGCGATAATCGCTCGCTTCAGGGATTTTTGGATGCCATCACCCTCATCATGGAGACCGGTTTCGCCGTTGCTGCTATCATCTGCGTGATCCTCAACCTTGTCCTGCCTGAAGAGATGGAAGACGATATTGATGCGGGACGCTCATCTACGAACATCGCTATTCACGAGGAGGCTCAGCCTGATAAGACCACCACCGAGCTGAGCAGAGAGCATAGCATCGAGCAGCAGAAACAGGGCTGATAGCCACTTTACGATCGTTACGTTCTTGAAAAAGGAGTTGGAGGATATTCAAACACACTGGCTTTCTACACGCACATATACCCGTACATTTAATAAACGCCATTTAGGCTTGAACTGGACTTAACATTGCCTGTGAAGTTGACTGTACATATTCAAGACATGCGAGACGGATGGCATGCATCGAACCCCCGTTTCTGCCTTGCCGCAGCTCTGGCTGACGCCACAATCTCTCACCTGATGTGCGAATCTCATCAGCACAAGCGTACGAATCAGTCCCTAGAACG